CAGTATCTGGAAACATAACTGATTTATAAACGCAACTTTATGTTTAACTATGGGTGGGTCATGGATAGATCAATGGCCATAAATACGCAACGCATACTCTCATTTTAAAAAAATCACGCGACCATCATCTCACAATGTTTAATAATAAATATATCTTATTTTTTTATTAAAACAAGTGAATTAGCAATGCCGGGCCATTGACAATCCAACTGCAGAGAAACAACATCATGGCAACGTGAGCACTTTTTCCAAAGTTCAGCTGTTCTTTTTTCCACTTGATTATGTGTTTAATGTTAAAAAAATCGATAATGAATAGGCCGACAAGAGCGCATCCTGTGTGTAGGCAAATCTTTTATAACTGAGGACGCTCTCTTCAAAAACCGAAAGTTGCTATTCTGTCTGGCATTATTTCAGCTTTTAATAAACGAAAAGTTTATTTAGATGAGCCAATATTAAAATTGCAATAAAGTAACTGAAACGTGCGGCCACACATCGAATCTGAGGACTGATCTATCTCTCTCTCTCTCTCTCTCTCTCTCTCTCTCTCTCTCATTCAGACATCGAGCCGCAACACAAGTCAAGTTGCAAAACTTAGGCAGGTGCAGCTGACAGGTAGAATAGCTGAAGCCTTTGCGAAATCTGTCAAAATACACCACTGAAATTAACAGGCATAAATGTCTATTGGTAGGATATCGCTAAAAACGCAATTGGAGCCAAAAATATGAGTTGTGTAGCCTATAAATTATAGGCCTATTAATTCTAATAAAATGAAAACCAAAATTAACAATTCATTGCATTTTTCGTTTGATAAAAATATACGTAAACGAAAAAAATAAAAGGGTGGCAAATTAATGCGTTTTAATATTAAAGAAAATATGCTCAGCCTATTTAATTAACGGCTATATACGCCGTCAATTGACAAGCCATTCAAAACATATTATTTTACTGTGTACTAGGTTATAATGTATATTTTACAATAAAAATTAAACGTAGCATGTCCCGCTGTCATTTAAAGCATGTAATTCATACCACACCAGAGCTGTGGACCTGTAGTGTTTAAACTTACAGGGCGGTTGGTCTATAGTCTTACTGCGCACTGAACTCTAATCCGAGGGAGATTATGTTACTCGATAGACAACATTAACTTGAGAGATTTAAAAAATAAAAGGTATTTTTTAAAAGGAACAACGCGCAAATCTGCAACAAATAAAACTAAAAATAAAACATCTTGCCAGTGCTGTGTGTATTCCGCCACTGACAGTAAGACACCCTTATGCAGCGCCTGTAACTGCCGCTTTTAAGAGAGATCATAGCTGGTATTGATATAACCAAAAAGCAAGATCATATAGTTATAAATATTCCATAACAATACTTATCGAAATATTTATACATTTACATGTTGTTTATTGAGATTGTGTGATCTGTATAGGTTGTCTGATCTTTACAGAAGCTGTAAACTAACACGTGTGCGGTGATGTTTAGCTCTGACGAGGCGCTTTTATTTAGCCTGTAGTCTTTAGATTTTTTACATAATGTTCCAATTCTTAACATTTTTTTATATAGTTTATATATAAAATGAGTGCTAGCTTGTTTAGTTGTGATCATTATGCAAGGATCATAATTCATATTCGGTTTATTCTTCAATAGCCTATAGATTCGTTAATAATGTATTTTATAAACGGCTTGTTCATAAGGACTAAGCTGTTAATATACAATATAGGCGTTTATGGTTATTTGTATGGTTCCAACTTCCACAGTTTTTTCAGCCTGTAGCATTGTTGTGTTTTATTTGTTATGTTAATAAAAGTTATGTTTTGTTTAATAACAGGGATTTTTTTTTGTAGTTTCCTTTTCGTCCATTCAAACAATTGACGCCGAATTGGCAATTCCCGCAAAACTGAAAGTGAAAGTATTATACGCACGCATTTATAAGCTATTTAAAAGCAGAAAAAAAGAGGACATGAAGAAACGGCCACTCCCACTGTGATACCGGTATAACCGGTGTTGTCACATGTCGATTAACCGGTGGGGAAATTTCCTCACCGTCACAACCCTACAAGAAACCCGTTCTCAGAGACTTATATTTAGTCATTATTTTGGTAGCACGCATATTCTGAATGCCTTCGGCAAAATTCAAATAAGCCATTTTAATTTTGATTAATTTCAAGATTACAGTGAGATCAATCTAGATGAAAAAAAATGTATCTATGCCCACCTATAATATATTATTATATTATATATTACTATAATATATAAATTGCCCGTAAATCCAAACCGTGTGCCGCTATAGTTATGAAGTGAAGTGCGTCTGTTCAATACAGCACAAGCTGCAGTTAAGGGCTGCACAGAGCGTGAGTCACCATATTTGGATGTTTATAGAAAGGGACTTTTGTACAGTGCACTGATATCGTTAATAGGGATGCAACAATTAGCCTATTTCACTATTATCTGTGCTTTAATACGTCACAGTTAATTAGTTGTAAAGGCTTCTTAAAGCTGCACGGAACGAAACGAAACTGCTGCAGTTTAACAAAGTTATGCCAAGTTGCCAACTGTGAGCTACTTTAAAGTTCACCAAGTACACTGAGGCTAATTATGCACGCACACGGATTAACTACAGCAGCGGCCGTTCCCATATCACGTCTTTTCCGCTTGCAAGTTTGTTATTTCTAATGTCAGAATATATTACAATATGCGCGCACAAGCGGAGCATCGCGATTAAGGCTTTACGGGCACACGCAGTAGAAAACATCTTACGGTGAGAGTTGTGTGTACCTTTCAGTGCAATGTAAACAAAAGATATGTTAGACGAATTATTAGTAAAATTAATTTGTGTTTTATATATGAATGCAGATGGCAACAAGAGTTTTTCTAAATAACTTACCTAATATAAAGCTTGAATTTACATTAGACGTGATAACTGTGAAATCATGATTATTCTTCAGACTCTATAATCATACAACTAAAATCTATCATTGTTGCATCCATAATTGTTATACAGTTCAAAACATAACATATGAATGTAGAAGAAGCCTACTTCAGCAATGCACTGTTTTCGTTGTGCTCTGAAATACAACATTTGAATGTTTGTAAAAAAAAAAAAGTCTATTGTACAATGCAGTGATTTTTATGTAGTTTCAAAATACAATATATTAACATTTTAATGTAGAAGAAGCCAACGTGGGTGTCTTAAGGAGCAAAAATACAGCATTTGGGTTCTTATATGCAGTTGTGTCATCACTCATATAGCAAGTCATACCTCTCCGGCCCTTCGTTTGGGATCCTTTTCATGAACCGGCACCCATGACAAACTAATTGAATAGCCCTGGCTTCATTTTCCTTTGCTATAAAACTATATTTTGAGAACTTTCTGAACCCAGAGCTCAAATGTTGTACAGATTCATGACAGCATGTAATGTGTTTGCTAATTTTGAATGTTTTGTGTTACTGTAATTAGTTAAATAAATTCACTGTCCATTGAGATAGACTGCAATAAAGAGTACTAACAAGAAATAATTTATTAAGGCAAAAACAGATTTTAAACCTTCTAAATGTTTAATAACAAAATGAAAAGTAAGAAGATAAAAAACATCCCTTAAATCAAAATAAAGCTTTATACCTTGAATAAATTTATTCACGTGGCCTTAACAAATGTGTAAACCATTTCCCAAAAGAGAAAAAATCTTACTATATGACAAAACGTAGTCACATCTACATAAGCGTTTGACAAAGACTGCATTTTTTCTTCAATAAAAGCAATAACCATTTTTTCAGATTAGTCAAATTGATTATTTACCTGAAGACTGTGAACTGTTGTCAGTTATTTGTCATTTAGCTGGAGGTGGGGTGCAGTTTAATGCTTCACATACAGTTTTGTTTATGTTTTTTTTTTCGATGTTGTGACTAGTGGTTCTTGCAGTTGTCAAGAGTTTTATTTACACATAATCTACACTTAACAACAATCCACTTCATTTCTTCAGTGTGTTAAAAAAACAAGAATCCATATTTTAAATAAACCTTAAATGCTTTATTAAACCTTAGATTAGGGGAGTTTATTTAATTATTTTAAAAACTATTTCATTTAGAGATGTTGCTATTTTTGTTGTTGTTATTTTTATTACCATCATTATTAATGAAAAGAATACTTAACGTTAGCATAAAAAAGTTTGTGGATTTTTTTTTTACTATCGGTTCTGGCACTATTTTGGCACCAGTAACAGTTTTTAAGAGTAATAAATGCTCATATTCAATGAATGAAAACTATCTATCATCTATCAAAAACATACTAGTAACATTACCTAAAGAATTTTAATGCGCAAGTATTAATAAATAACTAAGTACAGGAATTTATGGGTAAACCTATTAACGTTAGTATCTAAAAACAAGCACCAGAAGCGTCTGAATATATAAAAGCATGTTTTATATGTTAAAATAGCTTGCCATAGTATGTTGTAGTAGCTACTCTAGTTTATTAGTACTGGTGTTGGCTATACCTCACTATGGGTTGCTCTTTGTTGTGGGTTTTGGTCTTTTTATATACCTACTTTATATTACCTACTTTGAGCTCAGTATGCAGTCTAGGGCTTTTGGTTAACGTTAAACTAAAGTAAAAGCCTGTGTGTGTATAAATTACATCTGCGCGTTTCACGTTACCTTAAGGCGACTGTAACAATGAAGCAGAAATGACAAGAGTCATTTCTCAACTTAAGAAAATCAACACAAAAGAACTTTCTTTCACATCACCATGAAGGGCATCATGAATCTGCATCCCCTTGTACAAACAATGATTAAAAATAAGGTCTAAAAACGTTCACGTAAAGTGTGAACTGCGTAAGAAATAGAATACGGAAAACCGGTAAGATTGTACGCTAAACTAGAAGAATATTGCTGCTAAAACATGTGTAATACAGCGGACGAACGGGGACTAAGGTATTCAATACGCTCAAATGTCCGTACTTATAGCACATTAATTACAATGTTAATAATTATATGTGACTTACCACCCATGTTAAGCCCCCGCTCCCCGCAGCACCGTTAGACATTTTCTATTGTGTGTGGCCAGAAAAACGATCAGAAACTGTCCATATGCAATCTGCAAACGTCTCAAACGCCAGGCACCATCCGGACTGGGTTCATATGGTTCGTCTTCCTTTTGTTTAAATGTCTTGTAATGTAGATTACTTTCTGCAGGCAGGTCTCATATAAGAAGTGTAGCCGCTTCTTACGTGAATCTTCCTCGGCTATTGTTAAAATCGACTACCGACGCCTACTCGGGGCCTAGGACTCTAACTGAGACTTTTATCTAGCTCCTTAACATTAAAACACGCGAAATCAGCGTAATTACATGGTAATACAGAGTATTATTATAATTTAATAAATAACACAAACAAATACACCTTTTGTTTCGAGTGCTAATTAAAAATATTTCGACATAAAGATTTTAATTCAATAACAAACAGCCGCAGCGTCCGTCCGGCTACACCATCCGCATGGCGACATACCCCCCATAGTTCCACTCGACCAATAGCATGGCAAAGAATCAGAGGTGCCGTCATTTCAACCAATAATTGGTTGGCGTCGTAAAGAGTCACGCACCAAATTTCGGGGGGAAAAATACAGTTTTCTGTTGTCAGAATCCCACCAAACAATAAAACTGTTTGTCTGCAAAATGTTAAGTATAGAAGAAGCTAAAAAAAATACTGTACTTGAAGATAGACGAACTTTCATCTAAAGGTGCAATATATATATATATATATATATATATATATATATATATATATAGATATATATATATATAGATAGATAGATATAGATATAGACTATATATATAATTTGTTCCATTCGTGTAAAATTGTTTTATGTTGTGACGTAATATAAAATAATGAATGGATATTCCTAAATAACTTTTTTATTATTTATGAAATATTTTAATGTTTATTTTAACATTTAACATTTTGTTTTTCTGGATGCATTCGATTTGTATTTTTTTTTCTCTGAATAATCTAAATAATGGCATTTTAACCCCATATGATGGCGCTAGACCTGGTGACTAAATAGAGTGGAGGAACTATGGTTCCCTCGTCAAAATCCCCATAGATATATACACTAGATATCGCATAGGGACCCTGAGCATGCGTCAATAGCGCCGCCACATTGGTACAGTGCTCCCAGGACAAATGTCATTCAACCGCACTAGTCAAGACAGTGTTATTACGTGAAGATGCGGGACTTTAGCGCTGTCTACGGTTGTAGTAACGAGCAAACAAAGAAAAAAAAGCATAAAGGCAGAACATTTCATATGTAATATTGTGTTTTTTTCTGTTTTTATATGTTCTGAACTTTTGTGCTAATCGGGTAACATTATTGATGATAACAATCACTTACTGAAATCACCATACGGCAAAGCAGCTCCAACTCGCACTAAACACTCGGCTTATGCTAGTTTTGTTGAATAACATCAGCAAACAATGCAAAAGAAATATGACAACGAGATGCTGCGCAGCCAGAAACTTGTATTATTGTCGCCTAACGTAAGTGAAAGAGATCGGGGGATTCATTCACAAACGAATCGCTCTCTCCGTCAGTATGAGAAGTGAAAGCAGAGGAGGTGTGTTTCAGGACACAGATTTGATTAAATTTAACAGGGAGGGTGAATAGTACATTTCTGTACACACAACACAAGCTTTTTGTCAGGAATGCCCGTGTGCTGATTCATCAATGTAGAAAAGTGATGTAAAATTATAATTTTCGTAATTAGAAAAAAAATACATACTAACATCCAGGAAAACTCCCGATCATATATATATATATATATATATGTGTTTATGTGTATATCTCTGGCTTTGCATGGCCACAGTCCTCCACTGTACTTGGTCCCGCATTCATTTCAAAAGAGCGCTACACTGTAGCAAGATGGCGGCGCTATTCACGCATTCCGTCCAATAGACAACAATAGGCCAGGCGACATCTAATGTGTATATCTCTGGAAAATCCCTATGAGATTTTCGGTCCGTGTATGATCCGTGTACGTTTTGTTCATTTGTTTTCCATTTTCAAACGGAATAAAGGAAATGGAGAAAACGGCCGTTTTTCCGTTTTTCTTTTGCTCACGAGAAAACGAAAAAACGAGATTTTGGTTGGATTTTCGTTTTTTGGTTTAGGGTAGGAAAACGGATAAACGACTTTAAAATGTAGGCGGTGCTGAAACGCCCACTTTCCTCTAATTGGTCAACCAAATCTGCGCTCGTGACGTCACCCTCAAAATAAAAGCCTTACACGCAGGCTTTTAATTATTATTATTTAATTATATATTAACTAAGTTTACATATTCTATCATTTGAACCACACACAGTTAGCAGGCTTACATTCATTGCGTATGTATAAATTAAATAAAAACGTAAAACAGTATTCTTAGACATTTGTCATTAAAATAAGGTCATAGTTCACTGCCAAGCTTCTTGCTGCTGTGCACCTGATGCAGAGCAAAGATAGCCATTTCCGAGCAGCACCTGGTTTACATGATTGTTTCAGAGCAAGGGCTTTATAATAATAATACTAATAATAATAATAATAATAATAATAATAATAATAATAATTATTATTATTATTATTATTATTATTATTATTATCAGTTACTAGTGTTTTTATTGTTTGGTGTGTTTTTTTTCTTTTTAATAGTTGTTAGCAGAACCAGAATAAGAACACTTTGGGCCCTGCTATAAAAACAAAGGGTACCATTTGTTTTCATTTATTTCTTCCTATTTTAATTATATATTGTAATTATTTATTTGATAATTAAACTATTTTATTGCAACGCCAAAGTAGGCCTGTCTTATTATTATTTTTTATTATTAAATTTGCTGTTATTGTAGGCTAGATGGCAGGCTTTAAATATTTTAAATAACATTTACTCATAACCTTACTAATTCGAGAGCCGAACCTAAAAAAGTTTAAGTGCAATAAGCCTGTACAATAAGGGAGCCGCAATGCTTCTAGCGCATTCTTGCTGGAATAATGAAATAAATTTCAAATTAACTAATTAAACACATTATAGTTGATAAAAAAATTGTGTCTAGTAGTTCCAACAAACAGATGAGCTCGCTACATGTGCGTTGCGCTAATAATTTGACATTTGCTCTTCTTGAGAAAGTGCTACAGCGGGCCCTGCTATTTCACATATAAGGTTAGTGATACGTATTTTAAATTAGTATTGCACATTATTCATTCATTTTCTTGTCGGCTTAGTCCCTTTATTAATCTGGGGTCGCCACAGCGGAATGAACCGTCAACTTATTTAGCAAGTTTTTACGCAGCGGATGCCCTTCCAGCCACAAACCATCTCTGGGACACATCCACACACACTTATACAGTACGGACAATTTAGCCTACCCAATTCACCTGTACCGCATGTCTTTGGACTGTGGGGAAAACCGGAGCACCCGGAGGAAACCCACGCGAACGCACTACACTACTGATTTAGACACACAATCTCAAAAAAAACTTGATGCCTATTTACATTATCTAAAGTCATTTCTTACGAGGTAGGATCTGTTGTATTATATATTTTCGTTTTAATATGCAAATAATTTTCTTTAATTTGTAATAGGCCTATTGTCCCTCATTGCATAAAATAACCAGCCTTTGTATTCAATATGTTTGTAAATTGTCCATCCAGTTTGACGCAAGCTAAACAACATTTTGGCCTGTTTTGCTTATTAAATGAGTGATTTTCACAGAGAAACAAATCATCCATCCACACAGTTTTGTATAGGACCTGTGTGAACAAAAATATACACTTCATCATAGCCTATAGGAAAATGTATCTGTTTAGAACCAATTTTGTGTTGTATAATTAAAAATACAATAAAAAAAAAAAGGAATAACATTTGAAGTGCAATGCTTCAAAGATCCAATACGCTGCATGCAGAGCCAAAACAAAAACTGGTTTGTTTGTTTAATAAAATAATAATATGAAATTAAAGTGAAATAGTTCCATAACCTGTATTATAACTGTAGTCACTCTAGATGACACATCATCCATTGCGCCGGTCAGTTTCACCTTTAATCAAGAATGTGCCAGAACCAAATGAGAATATTTACAGATTACCTCGGTCTGTGAAGGATGCAGAACACAGAAACTCGTTGAGAATGGAGATGCATGTTAGATGTTTTATATCCCTTTAGATATTGTAAATAAACAACAAGTTTTTATAGAGATTGTGTCATGTCTTTTCTTTGACGCACGCGCTGAACAGCCCCGAAAAGGCGCCTTTATTTAGCCTGTAGCCTAAATAATAGTTTAGATTTTATAACATATAATGTTCCATTACTTTAAATGTATAATGTTTTTTAATATTTATGGATTATATAAAATATATAGTTTATATAAATGCGCTCTGATCATTCAAGGATCATAATGCGTTGCATATTCTTCTTATTCTTCATTAGGCTTGATCCGTAAATTGTGTATTTTATAAACTGATCGTTTATAAGGACTAAGCTATTCATAACTGTAATTCCTCGAATGGAAAAGTCTTGATTAAAGAAAAAGAGAACTTAATTCGACATATGCATATAGTGCACTTATTTCTGCGCGCATCGCGCGCTTTACTGAATTACCTTTTTTATTTTTTTATGCACTATAAATGCATCTGGCAGCACCGAAAAGAGCAAATGCCAAGTTATTAGCGCAGCGCACAGACGGCTAGCTCGTCTAGTCTGAACCAGGGGTTTTCAAACTATTTATTGCACACCGATCCCATTGCATTTTATTTAGGATAAACCACTTATTTAAAGGGTGCGTCCTCTCCAATACACCACTGAATTATAGTGTCATAATATTTAATAATTATAATTAAGATAGACACCTGACCTCCATTTAATAAACAATTTATTTGCCATACTCTGTTAATTTGAAGTTTAAAGTTTAAATCATTTATGTTAAACTTAAATTATTTAAAAACTTAAAAAGACTTAAATTTAGTCATTTAAGACATTTTAGGTCATAAGTTTACATACATTGACCGTTGCATTTACGTACATTTAATGTTACATTGAAATTACTTTTGATGCAATAAATAATCCTAAATAGTTGAAAGTGTTAACATATTCTTGAAATGTAGTTATTTTATAACTATGAAATTTATTACTAAACAAAGTGAATCATTATGAATTTGCCAAGAAATAATCCACTTTACCACTGTAAAGCAATGCCCCACACTCACTAGAACGGTAGAACCTGCGGACTGTATGATATGTTCTGTATGTAAAATAGAGAAAATAAGCAAGATGCGCAGTCTCATGCAGCCTTAGTGAAATATAGCGCGTCACAGCAATGAACTAAAAATAAAACCACCCTTGAAATGCTGGCGATCTTAATTTTTTTCAGCCTACACTGACTGAGAATAATGTTGCACTATTTTATTAACAAATAATTAGAATGTTTTTTTTTTCTTTCAACACATTCATCATTACTTTTGCCTGTGCAAGTTTTTTGCGCGCTTGAGCGCGAAGGCATCT